ATAATAATATAATTTATTTTTGGTTTAATAATATAATTTTTTATCAAGATAATAATTAACAGTTATAACTTAATGATTATCTTAATTATATTTTAGATTTTCTATATTTAAAATATATGTTTATCTTGTATTTGATTATGTTTATCTGCAGTTAGTTAGACGAATTTAAAAATGGAGTTTTAATAACTTGTACTTATGCAAAATTACTTGTAATCTTGAATTTTAAATAATATGCATCAATAAACAGTACTTCATGCATAAAAAATGGTTTTTAAGAGATTATATCAAATGTTTTATAATATAGTATAGATAACGAAGTAACTTATATTTGGTTTAATAATATAATTTTTTTATAAAGATAATAATTATTTATTTTGTTGGAACTCGATAATTATTCTAATTATATCTTAGATTTTTTATATTTTAAAATGAGATGTTCATCCTCTATTTGATTATGTTTATCCGCAATTATTTATACGAATTCAAACATCGAGCTTTAAGCTATTTAAAAAATTCACCCCAAACTTTTATATTCATTAACTCGGTTATCACGGCTAGTTTGCGTTCTTCGGACCTTTCAAACTTAACGAACTGAAACATCTAGGTAGTTAAAGGAAGATAAATCAACCGAAACCCTATTAATAACGATTTTCTAGCAATAACTTCTGACATACCATAGTAGGCATGACAACGGGGAGGGGATGGGCCGGGTTTTGTAATCCCCGTCCCCGGTTTGTAGTAACACCCCCGGCCCCGGTCCCCGGCGGGTACGGGGATTATCATCCCGTTCCGGTTAAATCTCTAGCAAACCCCGGTCAAAATCCGATAAAATTCTGGTCAAACCCCATAAATAGTATCATTCAGTTTGAGTCTACCGGGGATCCCCGACCTCGGGACCCGTTTTAGCAGGGAATCCCCGTCCCCGTTCGGATCGGATAAACCGGGTTCCCCATCAGGTCGGGTCAAATCACCATTCCTATACCATAGAGATCAAAAGTATATTCACTCGAAGAGGAGGGGATATAAAAAATTATTTGGAAATTGAGTTATTCATAAAAGCTAGGTGCACTTCTAGGAAGTTGCTACAGCCACCCCAAAATGTTGATGATCAACAATCTGCTTGTTATCCCCCCTGGTTGACCCTAAGTCAAATATAATTTTAAAAAAGTATAATTATATATTTTTAAGTAACTAAATGATATTTTTATCTTTAATAATAAATAAATAAACTTTATTCTCTCATAATTAAGTGTAGACTGTAAATGTGAAAACTTACTTTTAAAAGTGGATATTTATTTTAGGACAAAATGAAATATAAATGTAAAGACTTAATTTAAAATGAAAAGAGTATATGTTTAACATGAAAAATGCTTTTTTTTTTAAAGTCCATATTCTTTCATTGTAAGATTGTTTTAACCATCATTTGAAGATTGTTATGTGTAACATTGGTTATGTGTAACGTTGATGATGATCGAGAATTTGACATTGATATTACTTAAAAATCATTTAAGTTACGTTTTCTCTTATTTTAATCTATGTAGATAGTTGTTGAATATATCTTTTTATAATACGTAAGGATTTAATAATAATAATAATATTATATTCAATTTAATATGTAATTTACAGTTTTAAGGATCGTTATTATAT